CTGAACTTTGTGAAAAATTCATCACAGAATATACTACAGATCCTCATAGATTTGAAAGAACAGTTCCTAGAACGAAAGTGTTAACTTTTGCAAATGCTATGCCTAAGAAGAAATTAGCCATTTCAGGTAAATTAGTGGAAATACGAATGCAAGGTGATCTATTCGCAGAGCTATTAATACTCTCATTAGAAAAGACCTTAAATATTGACGCAGTACTGACTTACCCATTAACACCAGTTCCACTAGCAATGTGTCATTTAGATGGAGCAATTTGTAAAACGGACAAATCAGCATTATTAAAAGTCGTGGAAAAAAATGTAGTTAGTAGTCCTCCAGCACGGTGTGATGTAATGATTTATGACGGATTCTTTCGTTTACATTCAATGACAGAAGTTCCGATACCATTTTGAAATATTTCAAAGAAATTAATCACAATGGTTACATCATCGAATGCACGCAAAATTATTATCGCATTTGATTGCTACTTAACTGCATCAATAAAAGACCACGAGCACACCTTGAGAGGCAGAATAGAGGGTCAGAATTATCATATTCACAGTTCTGATGAATTACGACCGGCTAATTTCTCCAATGAATGAATAAATATTCTTTTTAAAGACGCTTTAATTCAATTTATTTGCCAAGATTGAGAAAATGATTACATGTCGCCGTTTATAGGAGAAAGAACAATATATATTAATCACGACGTATTCTACAAATATGAAAAACATAATGAAAAAATAGAGAGAAGCGTAGAGCAGGATTTAAATTGTACAGCTCATGAAGAAGCGGGCACAAAGATAGTTTTCCACATTTGTCAATTGAATACCGATGATAACGTAGTAATAAGATGTTCTGATACAGATATTTTAATGGTTCTATTGGGGAATATGAATCATATTCAGAGCAACCTAAAAATTCATTTGCTATTTTGACATGGAAATGCACAACGTTACATCGATGTCACTCAACTGTACGAAACATTAGGACCTAGCTGGTGCGCATCGTTGCCAGGATTTAATGCATTCACATGGTGCGACTTTAATCCCGCTTTCTATAGAAAAGGGAAAAAATAACCTTTCGAAATTTTAAGACAATCAGAATCATTCATAAAAGCATTTACAGATATAGCAAATATAGACGACTGTAACATATATCAACTTCAAAAAAAGATCGAAGAATTTGTATGCCGAATGTATGGTCTGAAAGCAATCGATAATGTGAATACAGCACGAGTAGCAACGTTCATCAAAGCGTATAAAATGAATGACAAAAAAGACAAATTTAGACTTAAACGAACAATTGACGGTGCAATACTCCCTCCATGCCAATCAGAGATATACCAGCATATACTACGTACATCCTATATAGCGCATCTATCGAGTCATACTCATCGGTCAGTTCCATCAGTATTATCACCCTTATACTACGGATGGAAGAAAGAAAATAATAAATACACTTTCAAGTGGTTCGATGGTGACCAAGTTCCACCATCAATAACTTTATTACAATCATCGATGAGAATCCTGCAGTTATTTTATCTATAGTTTTTATAACACATTGAAGTTAAACAAAAGTTATGTGGATAAACATATAAAATTTACACTTTCTTTACAGAAATCGTCGAAAGTGATGTTGAAACATCAGATAATATCGGAGAAGATGATGCAGAAGAATTAGAAAAAGAAACAAACCTCATCATCGACAGCTCCGATGATAGTTGTGAGGAAAGTGATGGATATGACACAGACACATCAGAAGATGTATATGAAGAAGTAGGATAATAATTTATGTATCAATACAAATCGAAGTACTTTTGTCTTATTTATGTTCATTAAAAAAATTTTTAAATAATTAGTATTTTGTTTCTAATAAATAAATATTTCTGTATATAATATAAACCGACCCAAAATTAATAAATATAATGTGGTGTTATTCGTGTTATTAAAAATTGTTGCCAGCTAATTGTTCGTGGGTGTAAAGATCGTCAGTTTATTTTCTGAAAAGGCTATGCAACGCTCAAATGCATTGAGCGCGCAAAATGTTTATTACGCTGACTGACGGTCTTGCCCCCCCCCCTCAAAAATACAGCTGACGATCTTCTTTATTATTTTAAAAGTATAAAAATTTAGATGTATAAATTTCATTAGGTATAAAATATATTTATTTGTCAAATGTTCAATGAGGTTCATGTACTTGACTGACATATAACCTCCCCTTGACAATACAGCTGACGATTATTTGCTTTTTTTTAATGTGATTGAAACGATAGTTTAATACATTTTTGCTGTGTATAAAAATCATTGGAGCATGACTGACACTCACTTTACTGATTTCTGAACATTAAACAACTATATGAAATAAAATTCATTCGGTATAAAATTCCTAGCAAAATTGCAACGCTACCTCCCGGATTATACGTTAGATGCAAAAGTAATGATCGAATATTTAATAAAAACTATCCTTGAGTTATGGGATAACATTCCCGTTTCGCATTTTATAAATTGCGTAGATTTTGTAATGAGAATCGCCCATAGTGATTTCAAACCGTTAGTTGTCACGATGGTATCCACAAAATTAAAAGGTAGGGCCGCTAATTTAATTTTAAACAGGAATCTTAATTTTTGGGACGATATCTGTGCACTTTTGAATCACAACTTCGGTTTTGAAAAATCGATTGAGGGTTTATTCAACGATCACTTTAGAATTAAGTGCGAAAATAGTGTTAAAACCACGTACAACGAGGTTGCTAAAATTCGCGATAAGTTAGTAGTTGCCGTCACGGAAGAGGTAGCGATAACGAAAGAAAAATCCCTTACGTTAGCAGTACAAAATTCAGTGGAAATATTAGCTAAAAGTATTTTTCTAATGAACATTTCGTCAGATATAGAATTAGCTGTTAGTTCTAGGGAATCTCAAAATTTAGAATACGCTTACTACCATGCTAGGCAATAAGAAAAAAAATATGAAAGAACGGCGTGAACAAGAACGCTACAAACAATTTCGCGATGTTAATAAGAAGAACAAAAATAGTAATAGGGTTACTTTGAAGACATCATCCAAAACCTTTTAATTCAAATAACTACAATAGTAGTAATAACAATAGTAGTAATATTAGTAATAATATAAGTTGCAATTATTGTAAAAAATTAGGGCATAAAACAGAGGCCTGCTATAAAAAGCAAAATTTAGAAAAATATAAGGATAATGATAGAATTAGGACACAACATCTAAATGAAAGTAGTGATAGTTCTGATGCCGAAGAATCCAATAAGAATGATTTAAACTCCGAAGAGAGTTCTGCGGAGGAGGACGCAGATCTCTAATTAGGAAAAGTAATACTTCAAATGTTTTGAATATTAATGAAACTGTATCTTTTAAAAGAATGCCTTATCTAAATTTTATTCATAATAATACAAAAAAATATAAATTTCTAATTGATACTGATGCAGGAATTTTTTTAATATTACCTAAATTAATTTCAAACCTAAATGACATAGATAATAATGACCGAGTGAAAATAACAGGAATTTCAGGAGAAAATTCGTCCATTTTAAGTTTAGGAACATATCATTTAAAACCATTTGGCATATCATTCAAATTTCACGCAGCCGATATTAATATCGCCGCCGATAGTATCATCGGAATGGATTTCATTAGCAAAAATAATATTAAATTAGATTTTCAAAAATGAACTTTCACTGTTAATGAAAGGAACTATGAAATAGTCATTTCAGACTCAAAAAGTATTAATCACTCTAACATTGAACCTAGGTGCGAGAAAGTTATTAGATTAAATTCACATTTAACACCTTATCAAGAATTCATTATTAATAAGTACGAAAAAGACGGTATCATTATCCCTAATTGCATGGTCAAAACTGACTCTGTACGAAATTGTGACGTACTGTATATTCTTTAATCTTTCAATGATTATTAATGTCGATCATTTTCATGGTATGGTATAGGTATGTTTCACGTTTATGCTTGTTCGCGATTGACGTCATTCATACGGGCACAATGCTCCAATTGTTTTTGTCATTCATCTTCACCTCACCACTTACTTAGTCGTGGTCATTGCTACGGTAAGCACGCCGCATGGTGTAATTTAATATAATAAATTTTATATCACAGTGTGTCGAATTTAATTGAAAAAGAGTAAAGTTAGAGCGCACACACTCCAATGGTAATTTTATAATTACGTCGGTGAATTTAAATGAGGCCGAAAAAAATTTCGCTTTAGACATTAACGATTCTGATTTCGAAAAATTACAAATAGATAAAACAGAATTAGTTCATTTTAACTCAGAAGTTAATAAAAATTATAAAATAGAAAGGCAGAAAATAGTAGAATCCTTATTGCGATTAAATCATCTTAACGAAGAAGAAGCCACTCATATATAAATCATTCTTAGAAAATTTGGCGATAAATTATTAACATTCACAAACTCCATTAAACATAAAATAGAGACTAATAATTCACAACCCTGCTGTGGAAATTTCTACCTATCCCCGAAAATCCACAAACCGGAAGTAGCTGCTCAAGTTAAAAAGATGCTGGACCAAAAGATAATTAGGCCAAGTTTTTCCCCGTGGTCATGCCCAGTCTTGGTGGTTCCTACAAAAATCGACGCATCCGTCAAACAGAAATGGAGAGTCGTCAATGACTATAGAAAGTTGAATGAAAAGACCGTTTATGATAAATATCCGTTGCCGAACATCACCGAGATCCTGGACAGCTTGGGACGCAGCGCTTATTTTACAACGTTGGACTTCTGGGTTCCACCAAATCGAGGTTTAAGAGGAATCGATCCAGGAAACACCTTTTAACACCGAGCAAGGACATTTTGAATTTCCGCGGATGCCTTTTGGCCTTAAAAATTCACCGCCCACTTTTCAACGGGTCATGGACAATGTGCTGACAGGACTCAACAATACCCAATGCCTTGTCTACTTAGATGACATAGTGATATTTGGTTCCACCCTCACCGAACACAAAGAAAGGCTTGTCAACGGCTTCAAGAGGTTAAGAGCTTAGAATCTCAAAATCCAACCCGACAAGTGCGAATTTTTCCGCAAGGAAGTGGGCTACCTCGGGCACATCATCACCAGGGAGGGCATCAAACCTAACCCAGACAAAATAAAGGCAATCACCCTTTTTTCGTGACCGAGAAACCAAAAAGAAATCCGAGCTTTCTTAGGGCTTACAGGATATTATTATTTATTAACAACTACGCGAAGATCGCTAAGCCACTTACGATACTGCTAAAGAAAGGCGCGCCTATCATTTTCAACTATGAATGTATAGAGTCCTTTGAAATCCTGAAGAAAAGTCTAACGTGCGAGCCGATATTACAATATCCTGATTTCGAAGAGCCATTCAACTTAACTACGAATGCCTTCGGAACTGCAATTGGTGCAATTCTGTCACAAGGACCGATTGGCAAAGATCTCCCAGTAGCCTATGGATCTCGTACCATAAACAACGCAGAAACCCGCTATTCAACAACTGAACGCCAGCTATTAGCTATAATCTGGGCCTGCAAACACTTTCGTCCCTATTTATTTGGACGAAGATTCAAAATAATAACCCACCATCGTCATTCAGCATCAAATGTCCCAGAGGTCGTATAACCCGCTGGCGATTAAAACTGGAGGAATTTGATTATGAAATCATCTACAAAAAGGTACCCTCAATAGGAATGCAGATGCATTATCACGCGTCCAAATTAAAGTGGTAAACAAGAAAGACGACTATCCTATCGAAGAGTTGGCCAAAGACTTACAGGATCTAGTAGGAGACTTGGATCCCGCCGAAAATAATGAAAAATTTAATCAGATAAACAACAGTAACGATTATTCCCCTTGTTCCTCCGAACTTTTATATATTAGTAATTACGTAATAAACGAAGATTATTCTAATTTTAGTGTAATCACCGAACCTATTATACCAAGCGCACCACTCATCTTAGTTGAAGACGATACCGATAAGTACTTTAACATTATTAAACTAGATTTCGTAGATATTGAACCGGTAGATGAATAAAGTCATATGTTAATAGAAATTATGATAATTTAGAATATTAAACTCTTAAAGATAACTTAGTAAATAAAATATCGACCATAATGACATCTTATTGATATTTTCATTCTAAACCATACCAATAATACTGTTTCGGTGTTGGTGTTTCAAAACAAACACATCAATACCGTGAGCTATGTCTTAATTAAAACAAGTACAGAAAAAATACAAGTTGCAAAAAATGGTCACTGAAATGTCACGTAACAAGTTCTTGGTACAAAGGTTGAAATACTTGTCTTCTCTTTTTCATGAATTGGTACAATTAATATATACATATAGAGGGGCAGGTACGCCCTTCGACAAGCAGAGATGGTAACGCCCATTCGGTTCTGAAAAATATTGAATTTGAATTAGAAGATGCCGACACAGCGGGTGCTTGCAAAGATTTATGAAAGTAGGTAATTGTACATATTGCGAACCATCCCTGTTTGTTGATGTCCAGTTCAAAGAAATTCCCAGACGTGCCTATGAATAAATCCCTTCAAAGTGATAATAAAAATTTGTGCAAACTAACAACTATCGTAAACTAATATAAATATAAAATTTAACTTAAAGCACGTCTTCTTAATATTACAAAAATATATACAATGACTATACACAATGACTATATACAATTAACAAGGACCGAACATTA